GAGACAGAGAGAAGAGAGAGAGAGAGAGATAGAGACCAAACGCATAAGAAATAAACATGAAATTAAAAAGATTCAAATTTGACAATAGAAGATAGCAGTGACCAACCTAGTCCCAGCTCACCATTTAGAAACCCAAATCCAAAAATATCAGGCCAGTAAACGGTTGAGAAAGTAGTAAAAGGAAAAAAGAACGGGAGGCTTGCCTTAATCACTCATTTACTATATCCAGCACAGAAACAGGCCATAAAATGATAAGATAATAAAATAAGATCAATGATTAACAACAATTCACATGGAATATTAGGTTTTGATCCATCCCCTGATCCCAGTTAATTGTACAAGCAAAAATAACTTTAAAGCTTCCCGAAAAAAAAAAAAGAATATGAAAAGAGTAAAAGAACAAAGAAATTGAAACAGAAGAACTACCGCAAACAATTGAACAAAAAAAAAAAACTCTCAAGTAATTTATCAAAAGAAAATCAAATTCGAGTTTCGAGTAGAAGCAACTGATCCCTGCCCTAATCAAGCTAACCTTAGCTAAAAAGTCACACGGAAAAAAATCAATATGGTAAAAATCATGAAAAAGCAACTAAAGAGACTAATGTTTCATATAAATCACTGGATTGCTAAACAACTGTGTCTGATTTCATTATCTACAATAATCAAGTCAACGGTGAAAATAAATAAATCAAAAAATAAATATCACTTGAAATTCAATGATTTTTATGGTGATGCCATAATTTTCACACTTAGAAGACTCAGCACCGAAAAATTAGCTATAAAACTGGAACTTCGTGAAAATATCAAAGGTTTTTCTACGCTTGTATACTGGTGCCTGTAATTTCCATAGCCAGAACATCCATCCATGAAAAAATCAGCTTAAAAAACAGAACACTTCACGGAGACAAGGAAATTTTATAATGTTATTTTTTTGGAGCCAGACTACCCATTAATGAAAAACCCAATTAAGACAAAGTGCATACTTAAGAGAATCCATGCAATTGCATAACGGATTCTTTTAATTGTCAGAGAGAAAAGATCTTTCAACTAATACCCAACTCAAAAAAGCGAAATTTTCAAGAAAATCAATGGAACATTTCATACTTGGTGCCAAACAGCGGATAATTCCCATAACCAGAACACCCATAACCAAAAACAACTACAATCAACTAAAATATAGATCAATATTTTATGAAATATCAAAGATCAACCATAATTCACTAGAAAAATCAATTTTCCAAGAGAGTCAATAGCTTTTCTCTATACCTGGTGCCTGTAATTTCCATAACCAGAAGACCCAGCAACAAGAACAGCCCATCTAGTCCCAACTGAATCCTCCGTTTGGGGCATCCTCAAAAAGTCCGACCATGTTGAATAACGGCCATAGACGCCGGAAAACGCCATGAAAACAGCCAGAAAAAGTACCGATTTTCCAGAAAACGCCATTGTTTCTGGCCAATCTTCTCACCCCAAAACTGGGTCTTAATTTCTCACCCCCCCACACAGCTCAATATCTCTGCCGTTCAACAGATAGACAGAGAAAGTCGGAGAGACAAAGACCATGGATGTTTATATAGAGATAGTGGTGCAGACCTTGCATCAATAATTCACAGATTTTATGCCCCTAACATCTTCCTGAATACTAAAAACACCCCCGTTTGGTTATTTGTTACTATCATATATTACTCAAAATTTTTCTTAATTTGGATTAGGGATTGGTTTTGAGATACTTTTTGTGATTTTCCACTTTAAATGTTTGCTAAAATTAATGTTTGTTGAGATTTTATTGCAACCATAAAAGTAAGAAAAAAACGGTTTTAAGTGGTTATAATGCGTTTTCTATATATAAGTTTATGGATAACACCACGTATCATAAAATATTTTGTTCAAAACTACTTTCCAAATGTTAAATCAAAGGAGTTTTATGATAGTGATCATGCACTCAACATTTATAAGGATTTCTATATATTTTGGAAGTCATGCTTACTTTGGAAATCCTTAGCATTTTTTCACAAATAAAAATAGTTGGGTAAGGGGAAATATGTGAAATCAAAGGAATTTTGTTATGCAATAACCTTTCAAATTACAAAGGAAAGGTTCAAGATAGAGAGAGTTGTGAAGGGCGGATTTATTAATTTTGATGTCTATTTTTTAAAAAAAGTTATTTTTGTGCGGTAATTTTGTAAATATTACTACGAGACAAATGATGCTTTTGTCATTTTCATAAGGGGTAAAATTAAAATTTTAAATAAAAGACAAGAGCAGTCTACAAATAAAGTTTCAAGACACATATTTCCAAAATACTTTTGTATTTTTGTAAAAATTTCAATTTTTTTTTTGTTTAATATTAAAGTTACCTCTTCAAATAATTTTTTGATAAAAAATTAATGATTGTTTTGATAAATACACCTATCACAACCCCTTCTAACTTGAACCTTTGTATTTTGAGGGATTGTTAACTCTAGACAAAACCATATATATATATATATATATAAACGATCTTCCCCCACCCATGTGTTAAGAACCCGAAAGGATCATCATTAAATTTGACACAGATCTATAAAAAAATCAAGTCCCACAACCAAGTGATAACTTTTCTAGATTTCCGTACAACTTTGATGGTGATCATTTGGGTCCTACATACATGAGTAGGGAAGGGTCATATGAGATCATAGTACTATGAGACACTCTCACACTCATGTGAGTCAGGACTCAAAAAAATTGCCATTAAATTTTGACACAAATATCTAGAAAACCCATTTACCCAAGTCTCGCACCTATGTCATAACTTTTTTAGAGATCTGTGTCAAAATTTAATAGTGAACCTTTGGGTCTTACTCACATGGGTGTGAGAGGGTCTCATTGCATTATTTCTCATATATATATATATATAAATGATCCTATAGGACCCCTCCCCCCACCAATGTGTGTAGGACCCCCAAAGGATCACTATTAAATTTGGCACAGACCTATAGAAAAGTCAAGTCCTACACCTATGTGATAACTTTTCTAAAGATCGTGCCAACTTTAATGGTGATCCTTTGGGGTCCTACACACATGAGTGGGGGAGGGTACTACAAGATCATTAATATATATATATATATATATATATATATATATATATATATATATATATATATAT